TAGTTTTCTCTAAAAGATGTTCTAAGTAGAAGAATCACTTTCATAAAATTAGTCAAACGAGTCCAAAAGCAACTTTTAAATTTCAAAATCTCCTTTGGACTTTTCAAAAGTCATGCTAAACGAGCCCCTAGTAGTGATACATTCTATACAATAATTAATCGACTACATAATGGTAAGCTTGCTTGTTAACTTGTCGGGTCGTTTAAGTGCAAGGTAAAAATTTTAAAGATAAAAATAGAATGAATATTTATTACGAGATTTGAATATTTGTGTCGGTAATTTATTTAGTTGTGTTGGTTGTCGTATATTAATTATTTCAGGTACAATATTATTACCTGTTTGACAATCATTATTTGTATAAAATGAAGTTTTAAATATTGATTTTGAAGAATGTGTAATTAGAAATTTAAAAAAAAGTTTTAAATTTACGTGTAAAATATTTCATTATGTAAACACGTGGTAATAAATGAGTATATAGAAAAAATAGTTTTGAAACAATGATTGTTAAACAATACTTTAATTTTATATATGCCTAATCACATCGGAGCTCAAGTTGAGGTAAAGGAGGAAGATTATCTTAATGAATCATGCTACAAGTACATATTTTTTTCACAAGAAAGTTTCAAAAATAACATTTGCGGGAATTCATTAGAAGATGAGAGACAAAAAAAAAAAGAAGCAAATAGGGTGCTACCACGACAACATCTTGTAAGAATTCTGTCAACCAATCCCTGTACGTGAGCCTTAATTCTATCTTAATTTACCTTCAGCAAACAAAATAGAAGTTTTTAATTTCTATTCACTACTTCAATATTTTGAGTTTTAACAGTTTAGTAAATTTGTCATTTTTCGACTTTCAGTTGTTTAGTTTACTGTAAAATGGAAATGTCACTATTAAAAGAAAAATTAAGGGAGGGCCATTCTTGAACTTGACATGTGGAAAAAAAGACCATCTACAACACTTCACCAATTTCGTCGACTTCCATTTATGGTGTGAGTTTGTGAAGACTCAAGAAGGTCATCCATAGCTCTAGTTTGCCAGAACGTTATAGTCGTTCTATTTATAGATTTAGGTGGTAATAACCTATTATGTGGACACATTAACGTATAGCCTATTAGACACGTCAGTACTGCATAACTTATTCCGTGACACATTTGTGGACACATCAACATTTGTTATTTGTGCATTTGTCACATTGAACTTTTAGCTTTGGTCGAGTTACATATGTTATGTTCGATCATCTATGCGTTTAGCTCTCATAACTTTGAAGGTTAATAGAATGAAGTTATAGTTCATCTCGTATATTTATTACATAACTTATTTTAAGATCGAGCTCCAACCAATATCCAGTATTTTTTGGACAAAGTAACAGTAACAGTGTTTAAGTCGAATTGCATCCTAAAGAATCAAAGATCTATAATTATTGGAAAATTTCAGAATATATAATGACTGTGACAGTAAAAATTACAGCTCAGATATTTCCAAATTTACCGAACAAAAGAAGTAAAAGTCAAACTGAGACTTCATTGTACGTTCCATTTTTTTATTGATACCACCCGCTACTAATTTACACCAATATAGCGTTGACTGTCAAAACTTTCACTCTGTTAAGTCCCACACTTTGTAATGTGTGTATGTGGGTCCAC